ACATGTCACCTTAGTCAAAGAGAAGAGGCTCAGAAGAGGAGAGCTGACCAGTGTGCCTGGAGGATGGGGATGGGCGGGGTGGGGCTTTTCTGTGTAGAGTTGAGATTTAAACCAAGTATCCTATGCTAAAGGAAGAAGAGGTCTAACAACAGACGAGGATGTGGGAGAAGAGAACATTTTGGGAAGCTCTCAGGAATATTAATAAATGCAGTGCAAATAGGCAGGAGTGGGAACTCCATAAAAGGTTTGGACACAGCGGATAGCGGAAGAGCCAGTTAACAGCGCTTTCTAAACCTATTTGCTCAGTCTTTCTTGCATAGAGAACATCTCCCTTAATGATATTTTACAGAATCTATTTTTAGAAAAACTAGATTAAGATCATTAGGAAAATGAGAAAGAGCCCTTAAGAAGGAAATTGAAAAAGACAGCCAAAACCAGGGCCAGTGATGGCTTGGCGGATGGAAGCACTCTCCACTAACATGACCTGTGCAGGCCTGGAACCCACCTACAGGTGAAAGGAGAGAAGAAAAGCGACTCCATGAGGTTGTCCTCTGCCTCCACAAGCACTCCACGCTATGTGCATAGCCCGGCACGTGTTACACATGCCGTGAGCACACAACACTGAAAATCAGTTTTTAAACAGCAGATGATGGGTTTTGTCCTATTTTCTTGTTTCTTTACTAGACATTAGGAGTATGCAGAGTCCTATCAGGAAATAGAGCAAATGCCACATGGCCGGTACAATGGCTAAGCTAGTAAGGGTGCTTGCCACCAAACCCAGTTCAGTCCCCCGGACTCACGTGTTGGAAGGAAGAACCGACTCTTGCAAGTTGTCCTCTGACCTCCCCATTTGCATGGCGACACATGCGTGCAATAAATAAACAAATGTCGTTTATAAAATTTTGAGTAATCATGAATGCCGGAGAGGAAAGCACTTCCCAGAAGGCATGTAGAAGCTTCGAACCCCGCCACGTGCTGTGTGACTCGGGGAAGCGTTTGGGGAGTTTGGATCTGTGTTTGTTAGAAAGGGCATACTGCCTGCAGTTCCCTGGTGATGTCTGCTGCATTTGTGTGACCTGTTTCTCGCTCGTCCACTTAGGGTTTTTGGCACCCCGCCAGCATTTACGCTCTTAGCCCTGGCGTGGGAGGCATTCACAGCATAGGGTACAGAAGTGCTGTAGGAACCCACGTGGCACATGCTATCAATGGCTCTTTGTTGTAGTCGGCTGTTTCACGTGTTGTGAGATATTTAGCACTATCTCTGGCTTCTACCGCTAGACACCAGTAGCAGCCCCTCCCGCCATCCAGTTATAACAACTAAAGAATGTTTGCAAGTGTTCCTTGTTAAAGACCACTAGCAGCTGGCAGTGTAAGTCAGTGAAAGAACACTTACTTGGTATGCATGGGGTCATGGGTTTGATATCCAGTATGCACTGTGTGTGTGTGTGTGTGTGTGTGTGTGTGTGTGTGTGTGTGTTCATGCACATGTCCACAAATGACTGACTGAAGGTGCTCGTGGAGGTCAGAGGAGGGCACTGAATCCCCTAGAGCTGGAGTCAGAGGTGGTTGTGATGTGGGTTCTAGGAAGCATGCCTGAGACCGCTGGAAGAGTGGTTCAGGCTCGTAACCCCGAGCTGTCTGTTTCTCCAGCCACCGTGCACATGTTTCCTAATTGGGCTAAATCAAGAATGGTCTTAGATGCTGTATGAAGAAGTTTCAAACTGATCTATCTATATGTTCCCCAGCAAGTACTTCTGTGTACAAGATAGAATGGAGGGGTGGACACCAAGGAAGTGAGAAATAGAAATCAGGGCCTTAAAATGTGAAGGGGATACAAGGAGGAGAGAAAGATTTAAGAAGTGGGGCTCACGTAGAAGAGCAAGGGTGACTCACGAATTGAGTGGCAGTGTGGCAATGATTGGAAGAGGGAACACGCAGGAGGAACGTGTTTGAGGAAGAACATGATGGGTTTCACTTTAGGGCAGGACGGGCTCTTGTATCTATTGGACATCCCAGGAGAGGTGGGCAGGAGCTCGGAGGAGAACTGGCCACTGGGAGTCAGCTCGCCCTTAGCCGCTGTAACTGTGGAGACAGAGGAGATCTAACCCAGAGACTAGGCGGCAGGGCAGCTGGAGAGAGGGCGTTGAGTGCTAGTCTGAGAGCTGGACCGTTCTCACAGCCGAGAGACTGATCTACGTCCAGGGAAGGGCTAGCAGGATGGTAGTGTCAGTGTGCCAGATGCTGCCAGATGTGAGGAAGGCCAGGGGGTGCAGGCTGCATGCCGGCTTGAGGAGGGGACTGTGGACACGTGGAATTTTCTCTAGGTGCTTATAGGCTCTGCATTCGGGGAGTAGCTGCCAGCGCTAGCTCCTGAGCTGAGTCTCTGAGTGTGCGGGCCACGGCTCTCCGGCTTGGATGAATGGATAAGCAAGATGTACCATGAGCATGCAACAAATTCGCCATCCTCCTCGATGCTTCCACCATTTTGGTGCTGTGGTCAGTGCTGCTTGTGTGTGGAGGGGTTAGTGTAGAAGCAGGTACATGTGAACACGTGTGTACGCACACCTGTGGAGGTGAGAAAACCTCAAGTGTTATTCTTAAGGCACCCACCACCAAGGGTCATGTATGTGTGTTCCCAAATACATAAATACAATCTGCTCAGTCTGTTTAGTGTTGAATATACACATATATATGTGTACACACATATTTGTATTATATGTGTATCTATGTGTGTATGCATATATATGTGTGTATGTATTAGATGACCAGTTAGGGAGCCAGTCCCTGGGAAAGACTGTTTTTCTACTCTCAGCATCCCTCAGTTGCTGTATAGTTCTTTGTATATGGGTAAAGCCCTATGAAATTTCTTCCATCCATGTTAAAATGCTTATCCATTTTGTGCTTATTCAGGTCCTGTTTAGGCAACCAAGTTGCTGAGATATCATGGGTGAAGCGTCCCTGTCATTTGTAGGAGACGCAACCACATAGCAAATTTTCCAATCCTCTGGCTCTTACAATCCTACGAAGTCCTGTATTCGAATCTCGGCACTCCCACCAGGGAAGCTTTCTTACCTCCCTGGGCCTTTTGTCATATCCACACAGTGAGAAGGCATGAGGAAGTGGTCTTTAGGGTACCTCTCAGCTCACCAGGGTGAGAATTTAGTAGTTCCTGATCTCGGGAACCAAGGTGGGCTTATTCCACTACCACAGGAAGGCGGTGAGGGCTTACCTCAGGAGCCAGGCCTGGCCAGGTGGCTTGTGCACAGGTTCTCGCACTCGCTACAGGGGCAGCTTTGGAGTAAACACTGCAGCAGTTCCCCTGGAAGCAAAACTTCATGCTGTAGATTATCTGGTCTCTGATGGGAAAATGTGTCAAAGAGGTGGGGAAACTGGTTTTACCATAGATTTTTGGCAGCCCTCACAAACTAATAGAATATTCAACAGACACAATTTACTTGTCACTATAACTGAAGTTTATTCACGGGCCAAGAACATGTTGACCCCATTTCCGCCACTGCTTTAAAAAAATAAATATAAGGACTAGGCTTCCTTCTCATGGTAAACTCAGTGTAGGAGAGAGGGCTCTCCCGGAAAGGGAGGGGAAGTCCGCCACACAGTCAGCTCTCTAGCCCCTGGGCTGCTTGTCAGACACAGGCAATTGGATGCTTGCCCTCCTGTGGTCCTACCTGACCCACCAGTGAACAGCACAAGTGGCCCAGACTGAAAAAATATATCATGTAGGTATTTTTCAAAGATGTGATGGGCTATGCAGAGGACTAGAACTCACTTGGAGGATGTGTGAAAATGCAGTTTCCTTTGGAGAGCCTTTTTTTGTTTTTGTTTTTGTTTTTGTTTATGTTTATCTTGTAGCTCTGGCTGTCCTGAAAATCACTATGTAGACCAGGCTGGCTTCAAATTCAGAGAGATCACCTGCCTACTTTGTTGTTTGTTGTTAACTTAAAAAAAAAATTGTTTATTTAAAAATATGTCTGTTTTACCTGAATGCATGTCTGTGCTTGCAGAGGCCAGAAGAGGGCATAGGGCCCCTGGAACTGGACTTAAAGGCAGGTGTGCACTGCTGTGTGGGTGCTGGGAACCGAACCCTGGTCCTTTAGGAGAGCAGCTGGTGCTCTTAACCACTGAGCCATCTCTCCAGCTCCAATATACTAAGATTCTTAAAATAGTTTTGAAAATTGAACTTCTGAGGTGACTAAAAATAGGTTATGACCGTATATAATTAGTAGGGGTTTGTGTGTTTATATTGGAGGAAATTCTACCATAAATGGAGAAATTGGGAAGATGTAAGTCTTGACGTTTTGGAAGTGTGGCCTGAGAAGAACAACTAGGGAACAAAAGGTGCCTTCCTTCTGTTAAAACCTGAGTGTGGCTAGAGAGAGTTTGTTAACATTGCCGTAACAACACCTCACTTCCTTTTGAATAGTTCATGTGCACTTTCAAACTTAGAGCTCAGGCCTTGGGGCTGCCAACACCTTCGCTCTGGCTGGACTTCCAGAAACCCCTCACTTCACTGTAAAATAAAGCTATTTCCGTATAGTAGAAATCATGGTGTGTGTGTGCTGGTTTGGGGGAGTCTATTTTGTAAAGTTGTGTTTCCTGGTAAAGTCCAGAAGAGAAACCAGATCACCTCTGCAGCTAGATGTCCTAGAAGGGCCATGTGCTCTGTTCTCTGATCAGCCGTCTTTGTATTTGACAGATGGTCTGAGACAGAAGATGGGATTATCTGGATTAGAAAAGAGAAAAGTGCAGATTTGCTGTCATGGTAACAAGTAGCCCATTTATTTATTTATTTATTTATTTGTTTGTTTGTTTGTTTGTTTATTTGTTTGTTTGTTTGTTTGTTTATTACACTGTCAGAATTCATTTAATGGGTTTTTGTTTTTTGTTTTGTTTTGTTTTGTTTTTCCTACAATTTAGCAGGATAACAGATGAGTTTGAGACTCAGACCAGACAGGGGATATTTGTTTCCTGGGCAATCCCAGTCACACCACCAGCCATGAGCAGCTTCTGGCATTTTCAGTCTTTGTGCTTTCATTATTTCCACCTTTGCCCAAGTCATCTTGTTTCTCATGGACCACCATTGTATGGCCAATGATGGACTGTTCTCCTGAGAGTGTGATCACACAACCTTCAGGGGACACATTGACCACACCCTCCTTTCCAGCAGTCACATTGCCCAAGCCTCTAACATGCCTCTTTTGACCTACTGGTCGGTCATGTTTGCCCAAGTCTCCAACATGCCTCTCTTGGCCTACTGGTCCGCCATGTTTCTTGGAGTGAGGATTAAAATGAGGCCCTGCACTGGTACAGTCTTGTGTATTATCCCCAAACTGATGGGCATGGAACCCATGCTCGCCTTCAGTCCATCCTGTGATTTGTCCTGACACCACAACTGGCTCACTGCTGCTTGCCTTCTGCTCAAAGTGGGTGGTGCCCTGCACTGGACTGTCACCCTTGAGCATGCAAATACCCGTCATCACCATGCTTGATGCCTGTAGCAGCCTCAGGATCTAAGGTGGGCGAAAAAAGCAGGCGACGTCACAGGAAACACAGGTGCAAAACCCCAGGTAGCCCTTCTTAACCGGTGTGTTTCATTATAAAACTCCCACTTTTACATCCATTTGAAAGTGTGTTGTGTTTTAAAACCCCTTTTAGTGTCTAAGAGTGTATGTGTGCACATCCAGAGTCAGCAACACTAGCTGGCCATTGAGCCCCTGAGACCCACCTGCCTCTGCCTCCCTCGCCAGCTCCAGCAGTTACAGATGTGTACCACCTACTGGCTTTTACATGGCTGCTGGCATTCCCAACTCAGCTCCTCAGACTTAGCCAACACCTTACCCACAGACCACCCCCCTTGGCCCTTTAAAGTACAAAGTATCCTTAGCTCCTTATGAAGCGCTAGGTCACCGAATGGAAAGTTTCTCAACTCATTTCCTGGTGTCACATTTTCAGTGGATGTGAAATACACACTCGGTATATTTTTGTCGGTTCATGCCTGAAATCCTGAGTCTACCTCTGTGGTCCGTACCATAAGCTGTACTCTGCTGAGGGCAGAGCTGACGTACAGAGGGACTCCTCCCATGACTGCTGCCGGGGGCTGGGTTTCCCCCAGTACTATCCCCAAATTAAACTGGTTCTTAGCAGCCTGGATTTCACACACTGGCAGAGCCATGTTTGGCTCACTCCTTCCCAGACACAGCTTAGCTGGATGTACTCATAAATGAAAAATGATCTGAGTGCTGCGGGTGGGTGGGGCCCGGAGCTCCGCAGGTGAAGCCGGAGGAAGGTCTCTGTGCTCAGCAGAGCATGGAGCGCTGGCAGGAAGTCAGAGCACGCAGCGGCATGGCTCACGCTTTTTGTGGATAGTTAGTAACCCTCTGTGAAGACCTGAATGGAGAAGGGAAAGAAAACACGCCGAACTTTGGCAACTGGCCTGGGCGAGTGGCTGCTGGAGCACAGTGGAGAGAGTTCAGCCGACCAGTTCACGATGCAGGTAGGAAGGAGGCATGAGAGCCAGTGAGAGTCTTAGGTCTTCCCTAGCCACAGCTTTTGACTCAGGTGGCTTTTTATTATTATTATTAAGTATTTGAGAAATAGACAAGAAATGACACGAGTGGACTCAGCCTGCAGGGTGCCGATGCTGCTCGAGAAACTCTGATAACCCTGACGGTCTCAGGTTAAGGATAACTTAAAAATGAATCACGTAAGATCACGCAGCGTGTAAGTTAAAACCAGCTCTTAAATTGTCGGATGATAAATAGCAGGCACTGTTTTAGAGCAAATACTTGGAAAATAGTTGATCAGAAATTGATTTTCAGGCTTGAAAAAAAAATTGCTACATTCTTATAGTTCAGAACCAAAGAGGGGCTTGCTAATTCTTTCTGGCATTTGTGCTCCAGGAGGTGGATGGCTCACAGCTGGGGAAGGGGCAGAAAATGACTGAGATCCAGAGCAGAACGCCAGTGTGCTGGTGTTTTCACCGTGGAGGCAGTCCACCTCTGCTTAGCCTCTAAGTCAGAAAGGGAAATCACTGAGAAGATACAGTGTGGACCCTGAATGTGTGTCAGAGCGAGGGGGTAGACGGAGGGCTGGCAGCTGTCACAGTGATGTCCTCTCACCCAGAAGCAGGGAATGTTCTACTGGGGCCAGCGTGGCTGCAGCCACACAGGAGGAAGGTGGAAACATTTGATTTGTGTCTCCTGTGGTGGTAGCCAATCTCAGAACACCCTCTCTGTTGTGGAGGCATGGGACTGGTGATAAAGAGAAACAAACAGAAATAAAATTCTGCTCGGCCTGAGGAAACATTTCCAGACCTTGCTTCTCCTACTGTTTCGGGGCTGAACTGACATGGGTTTCCTCCTCCAAGAAGAGGCTGGAATACTGTGGAACTGAACCGACCTGGGGTGGGTTAGAGATGACATGTGTGGTTGCCATGAGGTGAGCCTCGGAGGTAGGTAGGTAGAGAGCTGCAGCCTGGATTTGAGAGTTCTTTGCTCGGAACTTGGAAGGCTACAGGCCACAGAGCTGTGTCTGAGAAGGCAGTGGTGGGAGCTGCTTCGGGGGCTGCAGACTGGCAGGCTATCCCCCAGGGCCAGTAGTGACCACGTTTTAAGTCTTGTATTTTAGGCCGAAGGGAGCTGGGCAGCCACACCTTATGACTGTCCCGTTCCCATGCTGAATGCTGCTCAGCATTCCACAGCTAGCATGTCTGGAGAGCGAGGACAAGGGAACGCTTCAGAGGCTTTTAGGAAACCTCTCGCTCCTGCCCTCCTGCCAAAGCCTTGCTCTGTCTTGTCTGGGTTTGACTCCCACCTTTCCTTCAGACTGATCCTGCCCCAGGTACTCTGGGTAGTGACCTGATCTGAGCGAAGGAACCAGCTCTTTCCCAGGGCCCATTAATGAAAGAAGTTGGGTCAACAAACTATGGCCCAAGGGCCAAGTCCTGCTTGTTCTAGCTTGTTTTTTATGTGGCCTGGGAGCTAAGAATGTGTTTCTACATTTTAAAGAGTTGGAGGAACAAAAGCAGAGACTTCCGGCCCACAACACCTGAAGTATTTGCTCTCTGACCCCTTAGGGGAAAGTCTGTCTTTTAACACCCCCGTTTCTCTGTATATTTGATCAGTGTGTATAGCCGATTGACACAGCTCTTCACATGTTCAATACTTTGAGTAGGCTGTTGTTTTGGAGGCTGTTTCTTGGTCTGTGTTAAAGGCACTGCTGGCTCCAAAAGTGTTGTGCTGTAGGTTCAGTGTCAGGAAGTTGAAGAACGAATGACAGGGCTCTAATCGACGGCAAAGCTCGTTGAGTGGACTATGTGGGGTATGGTTGGTTTTGCGTCTCTCCGTGGCTTGTGAGCCACAGAAGCAGCCATGTGTTGACTGAACCGTGGAATCACTTCTTTCACCAAGTCAGTCCTGGCCAGACATTTGGCGTTGCCACTCAGAAAAGAAAAGATGCTTTCTATAATAAAATGTGTGTACATGTGTGCACTATGGGTAAGAAGTTAACTGAATATGGCTTCTCATTTGGAACAAGGTTTCCTTATGAGTCCCTCAGAAACACTTGGTGAAAGCCTGACAGCCTTCCCATGAGCACCCAGTTCTGTACGTCACACAGTATTTCACTGTTACTGTCATAAGGGAAAAGGAAAACCCAGTGACCTTGCTTATGTTCATCTTGTGTCAGAACTGCAGGCCTGGATCCAGAGCTGGCTTCTCTAAGTGGCTCATTGTCCGCTGCAGAAACATAGGAAATCTTTCATGAGGAGTTCCCAGTATGAAAAGGAAAATGAAATGCCTGAGATTAAACTTCTTTTCACCAGGACATTTCAATCATCCATCCTCCTCCTCCAGTATTTGAAAACTGAATGTTGTCAGTGAAGAAGGGTGGGGTGGAGCTTAGCTTGACAGATGAAAACAAGTGAGGAAGGGTAAAAACATGAACACTACAGTCCCTCATGGGAGGTAAAGCCTGGGAACAAGATGGCGCCTGTAACCCCTGAGGAGTCAGGTTGTTGGAGCCAAGAGGGGTGGGTCATTAATCCTCCCTGGGAGCAGGCAGAGCCTCGCCTGTGTTTAGCAAAGGGGTTGGCTCTGAATTTGGAGATTAAGCAACCTGCTGTTCCTGTATGCACTGGAATTTCAGACAGTCAGAAACCTACTTTGCATAACTGTTGCAACTCTACAGAAAGCCGAGGCACGGAGCTGGGGCACCCAAGGCAGTGCAAGAAGCTTGCCCAGAAAGTCTGGGGCTCTGTGGCTATTCTTGGTGGGGTGGGTCAGCTTCTGTTCCCAGAGGGCCTCCTTTATGTGAGTGACAGTATACATAAGAGATCCTTGGCCTGCCTGATATCTCAGAGTTGGAAGGAGGCTTTTCACTTCCTGTCTTAAAGACATGGATACAGGTGGGGCCCTGGAAGCCATGAGTGACTTTATTGAGCCAACTCATTCCAAGATGTCACTAAATGTTTGGCTGTGGCATCTCATTGGAGACCCCCTTTGGCTTTTTAAACAGGGCTTAAATTTGACGTCTATTTATTGTTTTGTGTGTGTGTGTGTGTGTGTGAGAGAGAGAGAGAGAGAGAGAGACAATGAGACACACACATAAAATAAATTCGTTTTTAAAAAAGTTGCGTAAACCTACCGGAGAGAACAACCAAGCCAAATAGAATTGATGATTTTGAGTATGTGAAAGTTTGCCATCAAAAGGGAATCAACAGTGTCACAGCCCAGTAAGCAGCAGAATAGACTTGCCTAGCTCTGTCTCCTAAATACCTGTTCCCCCTTTTAAGATGAAGGCCTTCCAGTGTATTTCTGTGTATTTCCTGCAGTAGGGACAGTGCAGGGTCCTTCTAGCAGGGACTCCATGACTGCTGTGCCCTCTCTCAGGAGATGGAAAGCAAGATGGCGGCCTTCCTGCCCACTGACCTGGCATCTACACTGTCACACAGAGGGGAAGAGCACATAGGATAGATCTTTTGGTGGCTTTGTGGCCCCCACTGGCATAGCTACCCCCCTCCCCCGTTGCTTTGATTTAACTCCACCCAGGTGAGACACACTGAGATTCCCTCTGCAATGAGGTAGGCCCTGAAAGCAGGTGACAGGGGACTCTGGATCTGCCTTCCCTGTCCTGATTTCTCCCTGAACCATCAGTTCACCTGCATTTATATGACAAGACCAAAGGTGACTGACTTCTCTTGTCTGACGGAAAGAGCTACAGTTTTAGTAATATCAGGGTTTAGAGCACTGGTTCTCAACGTATGGGTTGCAACCCCTTTGGGAGTGGAATGACCCTTTTAAGGGCATCACCTAAGACCTTCAGAAAACTCAGATACTTGAATTATGATTCATAACAGTAGCAAAATTATAGTTATAGAGTAGCAACAAAATAATTTATGTTTGGGGGGTCATCACCACAACATGAGGAACTGTATTAAAGGGTTGCAGCATTAGGAAGGCTGAGAACCACTGCTTTAGAGTCTATT